TGTCACTGAGAGGAGAGGAATCGATAAGTTCTTCTTGAAGCACATGGTACTCAACTTCATACGCTTGTAATTGTTTAGCAATGTCCATCTCAAATACCTGTTATATAGAGAAAAGTCATCAAGCACTGAAAATGAGAAAAATCACGCACATGCACACAAATGCATGCACACATGATCATGTCAATGGGCATCCACCAAGCATCTTCTCTACGCTTAGCACTATGCCTGGCACTAGAAGTGATAAATAAGAAAAACCCTACACTGAGAAGGTAATCATTTTACTTGGGAAGAAAGGAAATATAAAACATCCAGAAATAATTCCATGGTAACAGTAAGTACAGGTTTCTGATACTCATCTTCCAAAAGCCAAAACACCCCATTTTTCAAAAGACTTACAAAAATTTATTTTTAGTTCTTACTTTAACTCATTTTTTTTCCTTTGAGAATTCTATTAGGCTAGATACATCAACTATGGGTTAAAAGAAGAAAAAACAAAACAAAGGAGTCATAGCTCTATTTGCACAGTCACCAAGTCAAAGTTTAATTATAGTTCAATTGGGTTTTCAGAGTTAGAAAACAGCCAAGTAATGGAACTACTTACTAAAAACCCTCCTTTGCACACAGATATGCAGAAATGAGCCAAAACCCAAAAGTCACCCACGCAGATGAGTGAATACGAAACGATGCCTGCATTGTCCTCCTTTCCACAACAGTGACGAAAACCACACATGTGAAAACAGCCCCCAAGTGCACAAGTGACTCAAGCCTTCATGTCTGACTTTCTCTTGGTAAGGAAGCCACATGGCTTGATCAAGGCAGGGCGAAGGGGGAGTCAGAAGGCAGACTGAGCTGCTGCCCAGGGTACCTCCCTTCTTTCCCACTGTTTCTACGGGACAACCCTAGGAGCTGGGGCCTCTCAGCACAGGAGTGAAGCCCCAAATCATATCTGGTAGATCTGAAAACGCAATCAAGCTGGGACCACCTTAAAAAATAAAGCCTGCTAGATCAGAAGACACATTCAGAGAATGAAGTTAGACATTACAAGAGCAGAAACTGCTTCTCTACTGTGTTTCCTGAAGGAAAAAAAAAA